AGAACGGAAAGGTCGCAGACGAGGGGGCCGTTCGGTGCAACGTGGTTGTTTGGTCGTTCGGGGCTAAGTGATCCCGGGATCCCAAGCAGTAAGTTCTTGCAGGAATCCGGGGAATCCCCGTTGACAATATGGCTGGCCGGTTTGCTCCCTGAATGTGGTCAGCCATGTGTTTCCCCCAGTCCTGAATTCTGAAGTGTCCTTCTGCGAGATCTTCTCAGCTGTCCTGTGCTGCTTTTGCAGTGTTTGCTAATCCTCCTGTTTTGTTATGTGAGCCTGACTAGTTGATGAACTACATCACTATCAATGATCTACAGTGATATCAACAGCAGTGGTCCTAGTAGAGATCTCTGTGGTACGCCACTAATTACATCAACTCTGAATTGAATGATCATCACTGGTCTGTGCTGTGTTTGTGTCCATTAACCAGTTCCCAATCCAATGTTTTAACGAACGTGTACTCGCATAACATCTGCGTTTGTCATGGCCACTTGTTAGACGTCTTCGGAGTATGGAGATGTTTAAGTTCACGAAAACTCTGTGCACTGTGTTTTATTAAATAAAGTACTAACAGCAACATAAGGGACACTTTCGTTTTTAGATGATTTTCTCGCTTCTCCTTGAGATTTCGGGTGTCTTTGCAGCGTTTCGGTGAGTTTTAGCCCTGTGTTGAATAGTTTAAAAGTCGACAGCTGTATCGCTTGACTTGATTAACTGTGCGGAGGGAAAAAAAAACTTTTATTTTTCCGGGTAGCTGGAGGACAGTACTTCGGAGAAATAGTTTTAAATCTGCAGTCACCTCTCGAGGCGGGTGGGGGGGTGGAGATTATACAAGACCTCTGCACGATTAAAACAGCTCAGGCGTACAGACGCCGGCCGAAACAAACAAACAATACAGTTATAATCAATTGCAAATATGGAAGACAGAACTGCATTCTTTTTTCTAAAGAAAAAGGCCCCTCTCCAGAGTGCTAAATGCCGTGCATAGTTTCTCAGTACCGCATCTGGGAACATCTCTCTGGGAGAGCACGGTGCTGTGAATCGGTGGAGGAAAAAAAAAATTAACTAAACGATCTTAATCGCTTGTAAGATTAACGATCCGGATCAATAGATATACACGCCTGAGATAAGGTGGGGTTCTGTTGCGGTCAAGCAGAGAGCTGACGGCTGCAGGGACAAGATATCGCCGTCCGGTCGGTCCAGGCTCGGCCTAGGTCCGGTCCGGTTCCCCTCCCCGGACCCCACGGGTCGACAGGGCTGCGGTGCCCGTGTGTGTGGGGGG